ATGCAAGAAATGGCCACACCCAGTCGATCATTATTGGAAAATCCCCTACGTGTTGTCACACTTGCTTGCCCGTCTGCATTTGTCCACATCTCCCAGGTCAAAGAACGTCTGCAAGCAGGCAACATCGAAGCCATCAAAGATCCTAATCTGGATTCCGTGCCCGACGAGCTTGTACTGAAACTGGTCGAACTCGCCCTCCGATGCACATCCATGCCGGCCTCCTCTCGCCCGCACATGGCTGAAATCGTCGCGCAGTTGGGCGCGATTAGATCGGAATTTTTAGGCGGTGAGGCGTCGACCAGGGAGTCGAGGCTACTGAAGATTGATCAAGAGGCTGGAAGATTCTCTAGACCCGGGCGCACTATGGATGATGAGCTAGAGCTTCTTGATGGGACAGTTGGCGAAACGCATGGTGCTCCCACGCTCTCTGGCTCTCAAGCTTGAGCTTCTTGGTGGGATGGATGCTCGGTGAAGCGACACAAGGAGGCAACAAATGAGTAGACTTGTCAATCACAGAGTGAGTTTGCGATGAAAACGAGTTCCTTGGCGGGGAGACGTCGGCAAAGGAGTCAAGGCTGCTGAAGATTGATCAGGAGGCTGGGAGGTTCTATGGACCCAAGCGCACCATGGATGATGAGCTAGAGGTTCTTGATGGGGCGCTGGGTGAAACCCATGGTGCTTCCACGCTCTCTGGCGCTCACCCTTGATCAGGGGCTGGGAGTCACTATGGACCCGGGCACACTATGGATGATGATGAGCTTGGGTTTCTTCATGGGACGACCACTGAGTAGGAGGAGGCAATCGAATGTGTGGACTTGCTGGTCATTGTTCAGGTAGCTTCAAGAAATTGACGATGTGGTTCGCTCGAGGTCCTGCTTGCTTGCTGAGCGTGCACTTACCCGAGTTGTTGTTCACCTCACCTCCCTCGCATATTGCACGGCCAAGTACCTAATGATCCCCTTTGGTGACATCGGATCAGATCCCTGAAGTGGACGTTCATGAAGAAATAATGTTGCAAGGTTGCCGCCTAATTCAATGCTCTGTGTATTGCATGCACTACAAGGCCACATATGTCCATAAATTTTGGCACCGTCTTTTTGAATTAAGTTATATGAGCGCACATGATTCACAATTGGTACATGTAGTATGTTATCTTGATATAATTGTTGTTATTTCACAATTAAATGTCACACGTACCATATCTCTGCAGCAGCTGAAGAATCGTGTCTTCCTTTCTGAACAAGTAGTGAGTCCATGCTTATCCAACGGCATTTCAATGACTGGGCTTTTACTACTACACGCTGGTACACCCTCATTCTCGATAGACTGGCATATGTTATACTGACCGAGACGCTTAGTGTAGCCGCACCGCACCGCACCGCACCGGACCGCTTACGTTATAGTGACAATTTGACCAAAGGCGTTTAGTCAAGTTTGAATACGTTCTAGAATGGTACTGGTATATTTTGAACGGTTAAGACAGTTATTCAGGGAAAACGGTTTAGGGTGGGCCGAGGCTTGTTCGTCAAGTCGTGCGACTTTGCCCGCACCGAGTTATCGCACCAGCCCGCTACGTCCAAACACTGTAGCCAGTGCTTCCAACGGTGAGAAAGGTGAGAATGAGGGTGTACTAACAATTGCGTCTGATAGCGGGGATATCTGAGTGAGTTCCGGCGCCTCGGTGACTTGCGAATATGGCTCTTCCCCCCCCAGTTCCCCCCCCCCCGTGCGACTGCGGTGCCAACGTGGAGGCGCACGATACTGTACAAGCTTCTACCTGGTGCTTGCAATGCCACGTCTCATCGTGACGTGGGCTAATGCGTGGCGGCGAATGTCCGCCAACATTCTCCACTTCAGGAATCGTCTCGTCACATCACATGCTTGGGATTTCTCTACTTGTCCAACCATCGCCGGCAGAGCTCTTTCCCGGAATTCAAAAACCTTGGACTTTCATTCCAGATTCTTCATTACCGAACTGGAACGGACTTATTTCTGAAATATTTACTATTCCACCCCACTCACTCGCTCGATGTTTGTTGGTAGGAGACAAAGCCCGCCAAAACCAGATTTGGTGCATTCCCGCTCATTTTCAAATTCGCCTTGCTTTGAACTGCCGAATCGCAGGCAGTTCATCCCAGGGGACCTTTCCGCCTGCTCATTCGGGTGCTTTGCGATAAACTCCTGCGATGTGAAACGAGAGACCAGCTGGGCTGATGCAAGGTGAAATGAGGGAACGTGAGGCGAGTTGAGGCCCCAGACCAGGCACACCACACCACACACTTGACTCGCAGTCGCACGCACCCAACCACCACCTTCCCCCACCAATCTGGAACACACAAACCATCTTGAACGTCGTTCGATGGTGTGCTTGCGATGAACTCCTCGTTCCCATGCGATGCGATGCGATGCGATGCGCTGCGAGCAAGCGGATGAAGTCTCGGCAAGGAGAGGAAAGAAAAACGCCAACGAAGCGTCGCACGGCACGCCGCACATGATCGTGCTCGCCGCAGGCACCCAAGCCCGGAAAATGGAGCTTGACCGCCAGCCCTTGCGAGCTATATCATGAACAACCCGCGTGGTTGAGCATACGTGTGATTAGAGGTTTTATTCACCGCCTGTCTGTCGAGCTTCAACCCTTCACGAGTAGTAAACTTCATTATTTCTTTTGCCTTTTCCAGCCTTTTAATCGCCATGGATGCTCCTAACCTAGTGAGACCGAGCCCGCTCGACGAGCATTCCTACCACCTTCAAAATACTCCTCCGCACATTTCCGAGTTCCCGGACCGGTTCTCCAAGTCGCTTCCAGAAGCTTCGGCACCTGCATTCCTTTTGGACGCACTTCACGAAGCGAGGCCTGTATTTGCGCCGCGAAACACGGAAGCAAGCGCTGGGAACCATGGGAAGCAGCCTACGTGTTGTCACGCAAGTCTCAAGACTATGCTTTCAATCTCTCCGATCAAGAGGCAATTGAAGAGGACACGAAGCTGCTCACTTATCACTGCGCTTGCACATACTGAAGGTAAGGCACGATTTAGTTTTCCACGAGCTATTCTCTTTTCTCCGCTTCCCCTAGGCGCGATATTCCCTCACCGACATGTGGGTTCCTGTGTACTTTTCAATATGTGTGAAATAACTCACGTTTTCCTCTGTTGCCTCCTGTTTTGGGTGCAGTTGATTCTTTACTTACGGGGATTAATATTGTCACCAAAACTCCGGAGAACGCAGTCCGCAAATCTCTTTCCTTGGGGGTTGATCCGCTCCGCATGGCGCTGCTCTGCTGCCCCTGCACTCCGCGGAAACCCCAACGCCCCTCCAGGTTCCGCCTCAACGTCTCGTGCATTCCAACTCGGCTCATGCGTCGCCTCGTATTTTGACAAATCACTTATATTAGTTGGTTGCGTACGAACGCACGCGTCTACCTATAACGTTTATGAATCTCGGTCACAGCGCGGTGACTTTCGGCGTGGACGAGGTTCGACTGTCACAACTGGACCACGTTAGCCACGGCCTATCGCATCAAACCGCTCTGCATTCATCTATACCACCCAATGTCGAGCCTGAGCTTCAATGCTCCGCCTGCCTCCCCGAATGATCGCGTCCTCGCAGGCAGACCCTCTCCCCGCAGGAATTCCTAAAATCACGGCGGGTATCCGCAGTGGACTTTGCGGAATTCCCAAGACAAAGTCGAGAATTCTCAATCCCGGCTTCCCCATGCGTGCCCTCTCTGCATGACATGACAGTGCATGGGATGTGGGAGCGGCTCTCTTACAAAACACTCTGACATATCGCTAGGGTTTGGGGGTAAACATGCTGGCTGACCGGTGCGACTCGCTGCCATGTTGAACGCCGGAAATACTATGTTGAGTTGAGACTAAACCTCTGATAAAGGCTTTGACGGCTCTCTGATGAATCTGCTCATGACCACCTCCTGGTCAACCCACCTTTTGAATTTGTCGATCAGTTTCTTCTACATTATAGTACGAACCTGCATTGAAGCATTGACCCCTATGCACCATATTGAACAGCCTCTAAACACAGCACTTCAAGCAGCATAAATCAAGATAATAAATCATATAGCTCCAAGATGGTACAGTGGAAGAGGGAGTGATCCCGCTCTAAGAACATGAGGCTAACCTCTACAGTCACTCCTGCTTCCACTGCGACATCTCAACCCCTTTTTCCCCCACCCCTAGCAACCAATTAAACCCACAGCCATCAACTGTCGGCCCCAACACGACTTATAAAGCCGACAGGGAGGTCTTTTGAGGGATCTCAGAAGTCAGTTTCAACTCCTTTTTAGGCACCTCAATTTTAACAGCTTCAGCTTCTAGTGCCGACGGGGAGGTGGGGAAGGGGCCGGAGCAGGAGCAACCTTCCTCAGTAGCAACCTGCCAAATAACTCTCTTGCTGGCCCTCCCTCTCCTGCTGCCTGTGCTGCTGCTGGTACTGCTGGTTCTGCTGGTACCGCCACAGGAGGGGGGGGTGGTGGAGACTCACCAATGCTACTACCTCCAGTGGTGTTCGTAAGGTTCAGTGCGGTGAATTCATTCTCGCTGTAGTCATCATCACCCCCATCCTCGCTATAAGCACCCCCGGTACTAGCGGTGCTACCACTAGGAACGTACGACTCGAATTTGCCGACGCTTTTGCTGAAAAGGGTGCTGCCGCTGCCGCTGCCAGTGCTGCCGCTGCTGCTGCTCCCAGTGCTGCCGATGCTGCCGGTGCTGCTGTCGATGCTCCCTGTACCAGGTTCGTAGAAGCTCGGGTCGTAATAAGGGTCCACAGAGGAAAAGGACGACTCGGTGCCGCCCAGAGGCGAAACAGACAGGGGCGGCAGAGACGATGTGCTGGCAGAGCAAGCACTGTAGGTCGGGCGGCAAGGGAGGGAAGGGAAAGGGAAGGTGAGATGTGAGTGAAGAGGCAAGGTGCTGGCAGAGCAAGCACTGCAATCATCATTGCACCCTTCAGCACTCTTTACAATCCCAACCGATTAGCTTTACTCACGAGTCTGAGGAGCAAGCAGTGCTCACGCCTTGATCCAGGTCCAATACAGCCAGCCCACGACCGCTGCTGCTCGCCCCAATATCCAGCTGCAGTCTCGCCTTCCCTCCCCCGCACGCATACTCCTTATAAACCCTCGTCGCATCCACAGAAGAGCACGGCACTGTAGGCACGTTCGCTGTCCATTTGCTACTCGAATTCGGCGAGTCGATGATTAGGGTAACCGCGCCGGTACACCCCTGCCAGTCGAAAACCACCAGCTGCATTTTACTCGGGTAAAAGTTGCTGTTAGTCTCTGCCGGGACCACCTCTATCCGGTAAGTGTACCCGGCTAAAAGCGACGCGGTTAAGAACCGAGTCATTTTTCCCGGGCCCGTGGGACCGGCATTCGGGTCATCGTTTCCCGTTCCATACGCGTAAAACACCGTCCCATCCTCCGTTCGGGTGATTTTCAAATAGGAGTAGGGCCGGCTGACGGCGCTTGGGCTAGCTGTCGTTCCCGCCGATCCAACTCCGGATTCATCATATTGAAGCGCGACCGACCGGTAGCAGACGGAGGTGCAGGAATAGGCCGAAAACGCACTCTGGAAGCTGCACTTCGCCGCCCGGACGGCGGCGGGCGGCAGGATGGGGTCGTAGTTGGCAACGGCGTAGCCTGATTGGCCGAGGAGGGAACCGTCGAGATCCCGGATGGCGTAGAAGCGCGCCACCAGACCCCCCCGGGGGATTGGGCCGGAGGACTAGGGGGGAGAGGAGGGAAGGGGAGAGAGAAAGTTGACAAATGGTTTTTTTTTTCTAAACCCTTTTTTTTTTGTCAGAGTTCTTTAAAAAGGCAGGGCTGGCATACAGACAGCGTTCAAGAAGTTGTAGGGTTGGAAAGAGAAACAAGGAAAGAGTGACAGGAGGAGTGGGGAATTAGGATGGGGATGAAAGGAACCCACTGAAATGGGAAAGAGCAACTCACTGGATTGGGTGTGGCCCAAAACTTCTTAGTCCCTGACCCAAACGAGAGACCCTGTGGGACGAGAAGACGCGCGGACAAGGAAAGAAAGGAGAGCTATGAGAGGCGAACAGGTGAGAAGGGGCAAAGCTCCTTCTTGTTACATCTTCTCCCACACATGTGTTATGAATGGAAATGGGAAGTGAAAATGTTTTTTTTTCGTAAAAACAAAATGAGCAGGAGAACGGGGGGGGGGGGGGAAGCGATGAACAAGACCGAAATTAATGAAACACAGAGCATGTCACATGTTTTCTTTTGTGGGTTTTGAGTAACGTGGATGTAACAAACAGCACCTTAACGAACATGACTGTAACGAGTGGTACCTTAACAAAAGAGACTATAACGAACAGTAGCCCATCGAATGTGACTGTAACGAGCAGTACCTTAACGAACATGGCAGTGTTCCAGTATCCGCCCGCCTTATTTGCCACAAGAGCGATCCCAAAGCTGCTGCTGCTACAGGTGCCAAAGCGGTGGAAGCTGGGGAAGGGAGGAGAGATGGAGGAGAGGGGCAGGGGGAGGGAAGAAGAGAGAGAAAAAAGAAAAAGAAAAAAAAACACACGAGTGATTACATATGAACCTGGAATGCCATCCAAACAACAAACACATGACTGAGGATGCGGTCTCACGCCATAACCAGTAATGAAGGAGCATCCTATAACGAGTACACACTCAAAGGTGTGCTGCGGGCTGCCTTAATCAAGAGTAATCTCACGCTTACACTATAACGAGTAAATAATCACCTTATAACGAGTACCAGACCATCTCACCAGCTGTCATGAATGGTGTTTGGCGGTTCCTTATTCCGAACAGCGGAGTGCCTTATATCGAGTACACACAAACTTACGAGCTATCTTGGATGCCGTTAGGGAACAGGTTGTCCCCCGGGTTGCTCTGACTCAGCGTGACTCCCACAGGCGCCTCAAACGTCCCCACCTTCTCGTTCAGCGCCACCATCGGATCAACACTCCCATCTGCTGCCCCCCCATCCACCGGATCCTGAAACGCCTTGTTATAAGGATCTCTTTTATTGCTATAAGCCGGCGTGGCGTAGTTCCCATTGCCGCTGCTGCCACTGCTGCTTGCTGATGGATCAAAGTACGGGTCGAGGGGCCCTAGGGAGGCTTGCAGAGTGAAGGGCTCCCACAGAGTGGTGGGGCCGGCTAGGGTGTCGGAGCCTGCTGTATCAGCGAGAGTCGTTACTCCCTTGGCTGAGGACGCGCTGTAGAGGGGAGATGGGGGGGAGGGGGGATGGGGGAGGGGGGAGACCGAAAAAAACAAAGAAAGAGAGAGCCGGGTGAAGGAGGGAGAGAGCCGGCAAAGGAAAGGGAGAGAGCATGGAATGAAAGAAATGAGAGGGGTGGAATAGTGAAGTGTCGGAGTGGGAATCAGCAGGAGGAAGACTCACGGGCAGGCAGAGGAGGAGCGGCCGATGAAGCGGCAGCCCTTGGCTTGCACGCCGGCATTGCGGCTCAAGTCGATGCCGATTCCATTGTCCAGAAACACCCCATTCTCCACTATCAGTCGCTCGCTGTTGAAAAAGAAAATGCTGCGTGATGGAACAATAAACGAAAAAAAAAAGAGGGGAAGTTGTATGGGTATGAGGGCGTGAGGGACGGGGAAAATGTGAGGGACTAGTATAGTAAGCTGTCAAGGAAGAAAGAACGGAAGGTGGAATTAAACGAGGAAGCCAGGTCACTTTGTGTCGGTAGACGAGAGGGGATAGAGAATGCCAGCTCACTCACCCTGCCTTGTTGCGGTAAATGAGGAAGTTCTTGAGGGAGACGCGGGGATTCTGCGTGGCGGATGGGTATCGGGGCCGTGACCCGTGCGGGTAGGTGCGGAATCCAATGAGGTTGGAGTGGGCGTGGTTGCCGTCCCACGTGCCCCAATTGTAATAGAAGGGTATTGTTGACCCGATCTGCGGGAGCAGCCGCGACAAACCCCGCATGTATGGATTGGCCTCTAGCCAGAATCTGATGAACAACACAGGGAAAGAAGGGGGGGAGGGAGGAGAAGATGTAGGAAGAATAGGGATTGAGGAAAAAGAATTGCAAGACTGGGGAGGCTAATGGGAATGGCTTTGGTACCAGCAAAACAGAATAAAGGGGTGGGGGGGAAGAGACGCATTAACAGGGGGGAAAGTGGGGAAATGAGTGGCGGGAGGAGGATTAGACAGTAGAGAGAAGAGGAAGAATGGAGATGGGGAACAGGAGGGGGAAGGGGAGCAGAGAGGGGGAAAAGGACTGAGGGAGGGGGAAGGGGAGAAAAGAGGGGGAAGGGGGGCAGAGAGGGGGGAGGGGAACAGAGACGGGGAAGGGAAGAGGAGTGGGGGGGAAGGAAGTTCAACGGAGGAGGGTAGGTGAGGAGGGGAGGGGAGGAGAGGGGAGGGGGTGGGGAAAGGAGGCTCACCCGGAATCCTCGGAGCCGGCAGCAACATTGTCAACGAAGCTGCTGAAGGGCGTCGCAAGCCAGAAAATCGTCGGCTGCTTGTCGGTTTGGAAATCCAACCGGTTGGAAGTTGCCGGCGGGATTACTTTGTCCACTTTCCGCGCGTTGATCCCAAGGTTTCGCCTAAACACATTTCGAAGTTCCGACCCCTCCTCCAGCAGGTAGCAGTGGCCTTTCGTTTCGTACGAAACGTTTTCTTCGATCGTCATGTTACCCGTCGCGTGAATCACCATGCACCGCTGCTTCGTGAAAACGATCGCGTTTTTTCGCACCACATGGTTCTGCCCCTCTTGTCCGCACACATGGAAATGCAGGGGGTATTTACCCAGCGTGCCCTGTTTCCCCAGGGCACGGAATTGCACGCCAACGATTTCTTGGGCTGTCGGCGTCATGTAAACCATGAAGTTGCCACCTGGAAAAAGCGGATTAGGGGGTGGAAACGGGAAAGCGAAAAGTACGGTCAGAGTCAGTGACACAGAAAAAGCAATCCACTGAAGGACCCTCCGAGAGGACGATAATACCTTGAACCATAGGGTCCAAAAGAACCGTATCACCCTGGACCGAGATTGATTGTTCCCATCGCGTAGGCTAGTGACGTGAAACAGAGAGACAATACATCAGCCTCTCACCGTCGTATCGATGTGGCGCGGCCTCGTTACTCCCGGTGATTACGATGTGCCGATCCAACAGCGCGACCTCTCCGTAGATCCCCACCGTCCCTCCCACTCCGTCCGAAATTTCCACGCCGTCGTGCCGCTTCTTGAGCGGCGTCTTTAAATTGATCCGGTATCGACCGTCGCTCTTCCCGGGTGCTGACGCGGGCGTGACGACGGACACGGACGCGATGACATGGTGCTCCGCGTCGTTGAGATCTGCTGACGTGGACGCCAGCGCGATCGTCATCCCCGGCGCCCAGCGCGTCACGTCCGTGTCCACGTAGATCGCCCGCGCGCCCGGGTTGACCGTCTCGGTGAGGCGCACCCACGACGGCGTGTTGCTGCCGCCCGGCATGCCGTACAGTTTCACCTGCCCGCCCACCTGCGCGGATGAGGGGGGGAGGGGGGGTTGGGGGGGGGGGAGAGCGCGGAAGGGGGGAGCAAGGGGGGCAAAACGGGAGAATTGGAGGGTGAGAGGGACGGGGAGGGGGAAGGGTTGCGGTGCGGTGCGGATAAAACTGGATTCAGAAAATAGGAAACGAAAACAGCGTTACTAATTACTCACAACGGCGAACGTCTTGTGCCCCAAGTCGCGCGGATTTCCCTTATCCGCGGGGTTCTGGTACTTGAGCTGGTACGGCTTCCGCCCTCCCATAAAGTTCTGGAACAGTGTGAAAGTCACGCGCCCCGCGAAGTGTTTATCCGGCTCGCCCGCCGTCAGGCGCCCGAACACCATAATGTAATTCGCGCGCACGTGAATTTTCGGAAGCTTCGGAGAGTCGAGAACCCTAATAGTCGGGAGAAGAGGGGGAAAATGGAAGGGTAGAGGGAGGAAAGGGGGGAGAGGGGGAGGGGCGAGGGGAAAACGGGGGAAATGGGGAGAGGGAAATAGAGAGTGAGAGGGGGGGGGGGGGGGGGAAGTGGGGAAGAGGGTGAGCATCTGCCTGTTCGGCTCGCCTGCCGTCAGCCGGCGGATGGGGAGAGCCGGAAAGGCCAATGGGAAGAGAGTCAGCAACGCGAATAAGGGAAGCCTGGGGAAACGGAAGCGTCGAAGCGCCAACGAAATACGCAAAAAAAAACCGAATTTCCCCTCGACGGAGCAGAAAAGAAGCGTTCAGGCACCGTCTAATGCTTACCCTAACCTTTGACCTATTCCTAGTATACTCACTTTAGCCACCCTTTGACGCGCAGTCGCCGCACGCTTATATCGGGCACATCTAGGAGCACCGCCACGCCGCACGGAATCGTGACGTCAGCCCATCGCTGCAGCCCGCGGCCTGGCACTCCTAGAACGCGCGCTCTATTTCCCCACGTTCTCCAATCGCTCCAGCGTTTAAAGCCACCAGCAGGCGGCTCGGTCATAAGCGTTCCGCACGCAGGGCTGTACGCGTCTGTGGCTCGGAACGCCGCGGCGCGGACTAACGACACGTGGCAGCTTGCAACGAGGGCGACGAGCGTTGCGACGAGGAAAGGAGATAGATTAGGGGCGACACGCGGTCTATCAGGAACACCGGAACGACGCGAAAAGGGTAGTATGGTCGACATGGCGATTCTTGACGAAAAAACCTGGTCGATCTAACGCTTCGTAGTATCCACGTGGATCAACGGCAACGTGCGATAGATGGACGACTACAGTCAAGGCGAAACGGTCAGGTGGTCGCCCCAAGACTTTGAAAAGCGCGGGATCGCGCGTAGCAGTAGTGAATGGAACGGTGGTGAGCGGAACGGTGGTGAGCGGAACGGTGATGACTGTAACGTTAGTGACTGGACAGCGCGCAAATGGTAGAGACCGGAGCAGTTGCGGACTGGGAATGGTAGTGAATGGAACAGCGGCTGGAACGATGGATTGAAATGGTAGTGGTAGCGAGTGGAAGGTAACGATGGAAATGCTAGTTGCGCGTTGTACGTCTAACGGAGTTTGGACTCCGGAGCTGTCGTCGCCGCGCTCTGGGGAGGATATTACGGGTACCGCTGTAGTGTCAGCTGCGAGAATGTGTAGCACTGGTATATAGACAGCTGGGGACCATGAAGCAAAGCAGCAATGGTCAGGACACGGCCCACTGTGCACGGGTCGAAGGAGCAAGCAGACGAGATGACAACCTGCTGAGCTTCGATCGATGCTAAAAAATGGCGACTTGGGGATTTTGCTGGAAACGAAAGCCAGGGGTTGCAAGCAAACTGAGGGTTTGCTGCTGCTATACTTTTCGTAAAACGGTCGTAAATACAGATGGGCTTCCGATTAGATCGCAGAACAAGCCGATGCATTGCTCATGGAATGCTTATGTACCGTAGCGTCGCCAACGTGAGAACGTGGAATCTAGGATGGCGGGGGTATGGATGGACTGTACAGGGTGGAGCGAAGTGTGTGCGTGTATGGTCGACCGACAAGCACGGGTCAAGTAAACGGTGGTTGAGTGATGTGTCGGGGATTCGTGAGGTGCAGGAATACAGTAAAAGATGGTTACGGTGAACGGACGGCGCGATGCTGCGCCTGAACGAGGATGGACGGAACTGGTGAGTGACTGGGGAGGGGATTCAAGAAACAAGATGGCGTGAAATAAGGCAGTGGAGTGATTTGCAAAGAACTAGCAGTCGCACAGAGAGGAGAGGGTAGGAGAAGGGAGCTCCGAGAATGAGGGTTAACAGGTCGCACAGGCGACAAGGTGGAGGGCCGTTATGAAGACAGCAGGAGAACGCGTGGTTGGACGAAGGTCGGCGTTTTCGCTAGTGGTAAGTTGTAACCAGAGTTTGGTTTGGCGACAGGAAGCTGCAGATGGATGGAAACTGGTCGGAGGGGATGGGGGGGAGGAATGAAGTTTGGGGGAAGGGGGTTGATGTATGTGCGACCCGTTTTGACCAGGTACTGTACGAATGGAGCAGGCTGCAAGCTGACTTGCTGGCGAGCCTACAACGAGGCACCGTGCGGAACATTGCGATGATGAACGACCTACCAGAAGCTTAATTGAAAGGCATTGATTGGTAGACGACTAAACTATCCGATGTGCGCTGGAGTAACTCGCCGACAAGATATGTCGCAAACAAATCGTGGGCGGCGCCATTGGGTTCCGTCAACAAGTGGAGCCGCGAGACTAATGTTCTGCTGCGCGATTCGACCCACCTTGTTTCTTCACCATCAGTTCACCGACGGGCAGGAAACATTCTGTGTTCCTGACACACCCGACTGTCGCGTGCTTTTGCAACTGTGACACATTCCAACTTGTCCCGCACACACCTGCCCACAAGTTGTTCATAGTCAACAAAAATACAGACACAATATGTGCTGTTCCATATTTTGCTACTCTGGGGCAGCTTTGTTCAAAGATGGGGGCAGCCGCGCTCGGAAGTACAGTTCAGTATTGAACCGTATTGCACGAAACCAGTCCACGTGACCAGGTATCTTGCTATGCGACGGACTTTCCTGCGACTGTTGTACAGATACATTACATCAGTCGGCGCTGTCTCCTCTTTCCATTTGTGAGGTGCGATTTGAGAAGTTAGTTGGCGGTTCACCATTGCCGCCAACACCCTTCCAAATGCAAAAACATCCATCTAGAAAACCTGTAAGAAAATAGAGAACAATATTGAGTGCAATTGAGTGAACGAGCGAGAATTGCACTATCGAAGCAAGAGTACAATGAGCGAAGGCATGAGCGAAGAATATATAGCGAAGCTACAGTGGTAACGGTAAAGTGGGAAATTGAGGTGCGCTACGGGCCTAGCGCCGAGGTTTGGAGAATTGTCGAGGCGGAGGTCCGGAGCGCGGGTTACCAACCGAACCGTTAGGTTGGGTCGCGTCGTGAACAGTGGCGGGAGTCGTGGTCGAGGCGAGTGTCGTGAACGGGTAACGTGCATGGATGGGTGCTGATGGCGGGAACGGTTATGTACGCGGTAAGCAGGGACGCGAAGTAAGGAAAACGAATTTTCCTTACAAATATACACATAAGCACATTGCACTAAGTTAACAAATCATAGGATCATACTTGATCCGAGGATTTTGAAAATGGCCCTAACGATGTATTGCACGAGCCGGTGCGCTGCATCGGCTAGGGACGGGACGGGGCCTTTGAAAGGCTCTAGGCAAGCGGGAGGCCAAGCACGGGCAGGGAATTGGCACGGCTCCCGCTTGCCTGGAGGCTGGGGCCTTCCAAAGGGCCCGACCCGTCCAGAGCCGATGCACTGCACTGGCTCACGCAACACGTCCTAAATCTATCATACATTATATTTATTCCAAATAACGTCTTCCTCACATGTTATCATTTCGTCTTGACCTGTCAATTGACGGGTCAAGTCAAGCCTCCATTACACACAACTATCCAAACCGCGGGTGCCGATTCTCTTAGGAACTAAGTTACTTAGGCAGGTAGCAATAATGAAGAACGATTAGGGAAACGAGGGGGGGTACAAGGAGAGTGTCGAGCGTCTTTGTGTACCCCCTATGATGTGACTCACTACAACATATCTAAACTATAAACAAAGCTTGACACACCCCCATACGCTAAGAGCGTGTTCCTACACCTCGTATCAAGCGAACCTCGTATCAGGCTCACACTGAAAATTCCCTAAACCCAAAACCTCTCGCTGGTTTTACTAGGCAAAAGGTACAATCTTGATACGAGGTGGCCTGATATGAGGCCGTAGGAACACGCTATAAGTGAATCAAAACAAGCAAGTGAAACAAATGGTCACAAGACCAGTCAAGAGAAGCAACAACACAAAGCTCAGGGTAGATCACAAAGTCATATAGTCTGAGCACAAGCAAGGGGACACAATACTAGTTCAAGTGTTCACACACACACACACACACACATATATGTATATACACACACACACACAACGACAAGCCAAGCAAGAAACAAGACGCAAGACTACAGCAAAAGAGGGCCTACCTCAACAAGGCCTAGCTACAGACAGAACTTGTAGTGGTCACCAGGCAGAAGGGCCTTGGTGAAGATGTCTGTAGTGTTGGCCTCTGAGGCCACAGAGTCCAGGCGCGCCTAATCGCGCCGCTGCAGCTCTCGCAGTAGAAAGCACCTGACTTCGATGTGTTTCATTCTGCTCTCCAGTCGAGGCTCTCGACACAGGAGGACCATGACATTGTTGTAAGCGAACAAGGTCGGTGCAGAGCTCAGGCGCTCACCAAAGTCAGTGGGCAAGAAGGTCAACAAGCGAAGCTCCTGCGCAGCCATGGCACCGGCGTAGACTCGGCCTCAGCGCTAGACTACGCCACAGCACCAGAGCCCAAGCTGAAGTAGTACCCCTGAATAGACCGATGGGTCTCGACGTCGTCAGCGTAGGACGAGTCGCAGTGACCAGTCAGCACAACTGGCCGTGTCCCTCGAAGCACAAGTCCTATGCCTGATGTAGTCACCAGATAATTCGCTACCCTCACAGCTGCCGTCCAGACCGAGTAGACCTCCACGACACAGCACCAGAGCCCAAGCTGAACGAGTACTCCTGAGTAGACCGCTGAGTATCGACGTCGTCGGCGTAGGAAGAGTCACAGTGACTGGTCAGCACAATTGGCTGTGTCCCTCCAAGCACAAGTAGTCGCCAGGTACTTCGCTACCCTCACAGCTGCCGTCCAGTGAACAGGACGGTGCCTCCCATTCGCAACAAAGCGAGCTAGGATGCTGAGAGGAAAGTGAGGTCCGGACGAGTACAGGTCATCAGGTACATGAGGCAACCCACAAGATATGGGTAGGGACCACTAGAGTCAAAGGGCTCGTCAGGAACAGG